GAACCCTCGCCTAAATTTGTTAGCTTGAAGAAAAGTATAGCAAAATTACATTTTCAATAGTCAAAAATTATATTCCATTGAAATATAATTGTGTAAAAAGGTTAATTATTCACTGGGTTTTAATTTTGCTTATTTCGATGACTGGAATATGCGTTAAATATAAAACCCAGTGAATATATGAAATTGAGAATAGAACACATTATTTAAATGATAAAACTGTGAATTTAAAACCCACCGAATATGCCTGAAATGGTAAATCAGTGAAATTTAAACCCAGTGAAAATTAATCATTTTACAGTAAAACTTTTCCACAGATAAACAGCAGGTAATTTATTGTCAAATGTAATAATTGTTTTATAAATATACAAGTATGTGAACTATGAGGACTGTTTTCTGAAAAAATAGTGGACTGTCTTTGAACTGAACAAATCAACTTACCACCCAACTAATATACTCTAGCACCTTTGTCAAACAGCCTCAATCAGTATGCAAATAAAATCTATTTTATTTAGTCAATCACTCAGGCCTCAAAAATAAACAAAAATTACACACCAAATTCATCATACCAGGGGTATTCAGAACATTTGGTCCAACAATGAATGACATTGCATTCAGTGAAGGCTCAGACCATCCAATATTTCATACAATTGTCCAAATAGTCAAACACAGCATTGTGAGTAATCTCAGAGTATTCTTTAAAGGGGAACCGCTCAATCCCATGGATTGCACCACATGCTCATGGGTAATTAACTCCGCCTCTGTCCACTAAGTAAATGAATGCTTTTTGCATACATTAGCCGCCATTTTAAACTCAGGATTTTTACTTGTCGCGGCGCGTTTCGACCGAAAACTACAACATTTATACATCAAAAGCCCAACCAGATGAGTGTAATCACTAGCGTACATATCCATGCCCCTGTAGAAATGTATTTGGAATCACAGCTTGATCTCTTGTTAGCGGCTTGGTTCGGATTAGCATACTAATTGCGGTGGCCATCTTGCCCCTATTTATAGAATCGGTTCCCCTTTAAATAAATACAATTATTTATAATTCTATTTTTCAGTGCATTGGTGTTTTGTGATCGTAATTTTAATGGTGAAGTTCCAGTTATGGATCTAAATGATGATGACAAACAGCTGCTTGCCATGGTGAATAGAGAACTACAGACGTATATACAGTGTTTGAATAAAGCACGGTAAGTGAACAGTACAACTCTGTGATGTAATTATTTTATGTGAACAAGATTGACAAGCAATCAATACATAACCGTCCCATATGTACATGTAATGAATAGATGACATCATACTCTTGTGTATGTTTATTTATTACTGAATACATGCTTTTGTTCTTTGTACAGTATCCGTGATGGTCTTCGAACTATTTTGAATATTTCCCGCCTTGGCAACCAACATATCCAAGCAAATATGCCATGGAAACTGATTAAAGGGTCTGAGGAAGAAAAGTAAGTTTTGAATAATTCTTGCATTTATGTATTCAATGTAATGCAACACTCACATGACTCAGAACTCTTCAGAATACATGACAGAACGCCATAACCTCTCTCTGACGTTTTATGTATCAGTTATTTTCTGTCTGAGAAGTAGTGTATCCATGCTGTATATCCATACCTTCTGCATCTGTAAGTAGACTCCCTAAGCATGGAATACATCTGTAAGTAGACTCCCTAAGCATCTAATACATCTAATAAATTGTGAAAATATACCCCAGATATACCAGCTGATGGCATATTGTTATGATGTACACCAGGAAGTTATAGCCAGACAATCCAAGTGTACAAAGTGACCTATGTTAAACTCAGTAATAGGATAATGTAGTGTTCCATTCAATTCTTTGTAAATGTTGACAGATCTTCACTTGATATCGTGTTTGTTAGCTAACTGGGATATTCAGCAAACAGAAATTAATTGAAGAGTTTTTCAAAATCAAGTAAAATAATCCAAAGACATTTGTTGTGATGCATGGCTTCTTAAAATGTATTTTAATTAACATCAATACAAAAAAAAAAAAAACTTTCAACTCGGACTACAAAAAAGCAATCCAATGCCGATTACATTAGGTGTTATTTAGCTGGATTAGTAAAACTAAACTGGCTTTGGATAAAGTTTATGTTGACACCAAGATTTCACAAACATTTGCTTTTTCAAAATTCTTTGTTGTATTCACAATAAAAATACACTAACAGCTGAAACCAAAATAATGATAGTACAGAACCCCACTCCCTCCCTCCCTGTGGCTTTCATTGCATATGGAAGTTATTTTCACAAGTGATGCAGTGTATCCTGTGGCTGTACTTTCACGAGTGAATCGACTACGAAACAAAAGCCACAGGGAGGGTGCGGGGTATATTCATGTACCCCAAGAAAAAAATATTGTACTAAATATTGTTTAATTCTGCAATATTTCAAAAAACGGTACTTCTGAAAAGACTACTTTGTTTGTTCTCAGACCTCATTTGCATATGGGGTGTCGAAATACCGATTTTGATTTCAGGGACGAATCAAATAAACTGCAGTACATGTGTAATTATACACAGACTCAAATAATTTTGCAATTTATATTTTTTTTCCACGACTTTCCGCCTACTTTGCAGCTCGAT